AGACACGCCTTCTGAATTGCTTGGGAACCCATTCTTCGACATCAAATGCACCTGAAAAATTCAAGTTCATATGGTTTCCTTACATAAAGAATCTACTTCCTCTATAATAAGCAGCATGGAATTCCTGTTAGCATATCTCTGAGATATTGTCAATGGAAATGGACTTGCAACTAAGGACCAGTAGCCCCAACTTTATCTTATCACATATAACAGAGTGAGACATGGATGCTTACTGGTGTCAGAGGTTCGATGGGTTCATGCAATTCAAGATCAACAGCACCATGATCCAAGTAAACATCACAGACTCCCTCCGTCACCTTTTCTGGAAATGTTTGAGCAAATATTTTATTTTGCTTTGCAAGGTGTTTCAGTTTAGCCTCATGCTCCATTCGTCTTTGATACTCCAAGGTTTCTTCAAGCTTTCTTTCCTCAGCTTCAAGCTCAATTTTACGTCTAAATTCCTCTTCCAGAAGTTTTAAGTCATCACCATTCACAGAAACACCAGTCTCTGAATCTGGATGATCACCATCAGATTCTGGATACGAACTGCACTAAGCCATGAATTCAATATATTAACAATAAACCCCCTCCCAGTATAGCATCTATTTACAAAAAATGGTGGCATGTAATAGAAAGAGTGAAGGCATATGTGCAAAGAAAGAGCAAAAGGAAGACATACACCCGCTCAGACGTCTCATCATGAACCATATCACGCTGATTACCACCAACAGACTGAAAAATACGAAAATATTAGACCTGCATCATGGATTTTGTACGTACAAACAAAAGAAAACCACAAACTTGAAACCTTTGAATCCTTGGTTTTCCTGAAATCTTTGTTTCTTTTTTTATCCTTCGTCTTATCGTGTGTATGCTTCGAGTTATCACTACCTCCTTGGGCACCCTTCTTAGAATCAAGTGCAAGTTCTGCTAAAAATGCTTCCCTTGCAGCATCAGACTTCTCTGTGGCATCTTTCTCTGCAAGATCCTCCAAATTAGCCTGGAACAAAAGATTTAACATTCAAATTGATAAGTTAGATCCAGAAAAACAAAAGGAAACTCCAAATGAAGATCAAGTTGTTCAAATCAAACCCTTAAGTATGACTGCACTAGAGGCAATAATATCAACCGATAGTCATGGGCTGAGACAGGCTCAAGTTTGAGTTCCAATTGCTGCATCCCAGTGACATTCCGCATGATTCGAGCATCAATTTTGCTGAGCTGCATGAGCAAACCAACGATTTGAAACAGATGAACAGTATCAATGTTTTGGCCATCAACAGGTGTATCTAGAACAAATGAGCTTACCTCTACGGATAAATGTTCTTTCTGCCTCTGGATTGCAACTTCTATGCACGTGTCTACTTGATGTAAATAGTCCTTGGTTCTCCATTCATCACCTTCACCAGATTCCAAATCACACAACTGAGAAGTAATACCACCGTAAGTCTCCTCATATCCAAACTGATTGACATTAAGTGATTCAGCTTCTTTTAAAACATTTGCTATTGCATCTGACTCAAACCGACTGCTGATGAACATAATATCATCTTCACCCTCCAGGAGCTCTTCTCTTCGCTTTCTAAGGACAGACTCATAGCTTCGATAGACAAATTCTGTGGCAGTTTCCCTCTTCTTACCTTCTTCAAGACAGAGATCCTCCACTGCCTGCAATGCTTCCTCATAGCTCAAATGCTCACATTTTCTCTCACAGAGGTTCTGTAGGTGATAAAACTCCTTCTCAAGAGTCTGGAGGATTTCCATTCCCTGATGTGTTTTCTCTTCTTTCATACGCATCCAAGATGCCAAATGCTCCCCACTTGACGGGCCAGCAAAGATCCAGGAGAGCAGAGAATCTGCATCTGATGCACCCACATTTTCATTGCCGTTAACAGAAGTTGCATTATCTGTTACAGCGTCACCAGATATGCATTCAGCTGGTAGTACATGTTCGTCCAAAAAGAGGTGTAATGCATCTCCATTAAGAACAATATTCTCTTTCACCTCAAGACCTGGAGATGCACTGCTTGCATCATCCATGGAATTACTTTTCTCAGAACATCTACCCAAACCACAAGAATGAGATAATTCCTGCAAGAACTTGACGATCTTTCTGAGCTGGGAAGCTCCCAAAAAGCATATGCACATTGGCGTTTGGTCCACACCATGATTCAAAAGCTGAGAACCAGAAGCCAAACCCTGCAACTCATCCATTGTGTACTGTATGACCTTGCTAAGATGGCTTGCAGCAAGATATTTATGTCTAATGAGTTGCTCAAACAAAGAATGAATTCTTTCAAGGAGCTTTGCGCGCTCAGTGTCATCAGACACTGGCCAACTATCAATCACCGGATATACAATAGATCCTTGGTTACCATCGCATTCTTTGCACTGGATGCTCAAATTTTTTTCACAATCATTGCCCTCAACAACACTACAATTATAACTATCCCCTAAATTTCCCTTCTCAGGTGAAGAATCCCATGCATCTTTGAAGCAATCATCACACTCCTCATTATGGTTCCCTGAGTAGAAATCTTCACCAACTTCAGAATCCTGGGATTTTGATTGATTCCGTGCAACCATTTTGACAGCTTCTAGTATATCCAACGGCTTCCAAGAACAATTAAGAATCATTTCAATCCACTCATTATCAACACTCTGAGGCAAGACTGCCTGCATTTTAGGCAACAAATTCCCCATATGTTCCTGCACAACATGGTGCATATGTGACTCTGAATCCGCAAACTTCTCATTACACCTACAACAAACCCAAAACCTCCAAGTCTTATTCTCCTCCGCGAATGTCAATGCCTCTGCTAAAACCTCACTCGCCAAGCCATCTTTCAGTGACCCAAAATGAGCTTTAACATCAGAAATCCTGACCCTAAGCAACTCCTTCTTCATTTCCAAACTCATGGAATTCCAATATGATTTTACAAAATTCTGCCTCTCCTCTTTCGACCCATTTTTTCGCACATTACTTCCAAACTTCCTCCTCTCTCTATCTCTTTTCTCAGTCCCTACCAAACCGGAATCCATAGTCCTCTCCCCATCATTATTTTGTTGCAACTGACCCGTCTCTGATTTTTGTTGCAACAATCTAGCTGCAGCAACCCTAACCTCAATCTCTTTTCGTCTCTCTTCTGGAGTTTTGGTTGCTTTTTTAATCTCATTGGGTCTCCTAGCTTGAACTAACCTAACTTCCATTGGGTCCTCAGTCACTCTCCTAATAGGAATCAACCTAAACTTCTCCTCACCAGTCCCTAAGTTTTTCATCCATGTAGAAATCGAAGCAATGTTCGATTTCTGTATCAAGCTCCTTAGCTCACTCTGCACGTGCGCAATTCGCGCTTCTGCTGTCAAAATTTTTTGCTGACTCTCATCCTGTAAGCTCTCTTTAGCAGGATCTACAGGATTCTCTATAGCTAACGCACGCTCACACTCTTGAACTACCTCTTCGTATTCTTTGCCGTCATTAGCAGCCTCGTACAATAGATTCGCGTAAAAGTGCGCGAATTCGACCGAGTTAGGCGATAACTCCACCGCTTTCTTTGCCGATTCGAGTGCGTTTCTCAAATGCCGTTGTTTCGAGTTGAAATCATCGATGATCGACGCCACTTTCACACATACAGTGCCTTGTACGCGGTGAATCAGGGCCACATAAGCCGAGTTCTCATGGCGGGAACAGGACTCCTTCATTAACCGCAACGCTTTCGTGTGGTTACCGCGGCGGAGAGCCGTCAGGGCACGCTCACACTCGAGCTTGACCGCCGAGTAAGTCGAACCACCACCAGCAACGCCGCCCTCCGATTCCAGTACTTCGGTCTTGACATGGCTGGACAGTAAATCACACAGCTTTGCTTCGACGGCGGCCGAAGCGACCGGAGGCGGCGGCGCCGGTTGTGGTTGTTTAGAACGAGGAGCAGTGTTTTTCTTTTTATGCCCCATCAATTAATTAAATCTTGATTTATCTACATGCATATATTACATGAAATGAGTTTTAAGAGAAGATATAAATACTTACTTGTAATTAAAGGAAACGTTAAGGGCAAAGTAGAGATTAAATAGTAAGAACGGTGACGGTATTGGATCGGCGTTGAAATCGATGAAGAGACTAGAGAGTGAAGAGTTGGAAGAGACTGACGGAAAAGTGTGACAGAGAGAAAGAGAGACACCTAACCCATGAAGAAAGGCGATGAGAAAAGGATGGATTAAGGAATGTGGGTTATGTTTATATATATATAAATAATATCCTATTAATTATATTATTATTATGGTGATGGGATTGCCTTCCTTTTGTTTTTCGTCATTGACAGTCTCTCCTCCATTTTTAATCTAATTTATTGTATGTAATTATGCTTCATCATCAATTAATTTTAGAGGCTTAGGGCTTCTTCTTCTTCTCCATGCTCCAGTTCAAAAAGAGCCTTTTACATTTATTTAATAATCTCAGCACGTGAGTACCAAATAAGATTAATGTCTGAAATTATTTATTTGATTTTGATTGATTAGGAATAGATGTAGTAGATGTGATACCAAACAAAAATGAGATCCCAAATTGTGATGGATGCAACTGTATACTAAAGAGCTCACATTTACAAGTTAGAACCAAACCAAAACAAACCTATTCTGTAACTTCTACGTAAGTACTTAATTGGAGAAATGAGATTTTCCCACCAAACCCACCATTGCTTCTCTCTGTCTTTATCATTCAATCCAATTGTTCTAGGTCAAGGAATGATTTTACAAACATGACTATCAAACTTCAGTTCAAAGAACACGGCAAACAATGGAAGATGACTACAGTGAGTAATAAATATGAATATCATTATCCCTCCACATATTGCATTTCAACCACACATTGCACAAGGGCCAACTATAAGTGGATAATTGTAGAGGGCAAAACTGTTTACCTTCTGGTTCCTGTTCAGAATAGCGAGTAGTTATCATGATTATCAAGGATTCTACTTCATTATACAAAAACTGTAATAAACAAGTAATCCAGCAAATTCTGGCTTCAATCTCTCATTTACAATTTGTAAGAGCACATAATACATACTAATGCACCAGATATCAGAATACCTCTTCTCCTTCCCACAAAATTGTGTTATCACTACAATGGTAGAACAAAAAACATAATCAATCATAGTAGATGCATCCGGTCCACATATGATTGGAGCAACCATTTATTAAGAGGCTCCCCACACCCTACAAAACACCCAGAATTGCCATTCTCGGTGAAAAATGGGAAGCTAAAAATATGCAGAAGTTCCTGCACTGCTTGCCTCACCAGAGAAGCTCCGGTCACCCTGCTACGCCGGCCCCAACCAGTCACTATATCTATCCGACTAGGAGTAACCCCTGACATCAACATCTGCCTACGAAACCAGGCTAGTGTTCTAGAAAGCGCTATCACAGCAGTGCCATCTGACATGACATGCAGATTGATCAGCCAATAACACGAGGCTTTCTGTTTAACAGCATCCGGATACACATTCTTCTGTGCAGCCACCTCCCAGACGGAGCCAGCCTCCTCCTTGAGCCCTGACTTATGAAGAAAATCCACCACCGCATCTACAAGTCCCCTCTTGCTCTCTCTATCCTCACTGTGCATCATATCCAAGAACTTGCTGACATGATCTCTCACATTCTGACCATCAGGTCCAGCTGACGGCATGGAAAGCAAGAACATATGTGCAGGGTGTCCTGTGACTGCCATAAGCTCACGACAGAACCCCATGTCATATGGTGATCGTGCTTCTGTACAACAACTTAGGAGCAAGGTATACGTTTGCAGAGAAGGCCTCAGACCCAATGTCAACATGCCCTGCAATAAGTTATAAGCATCTGACAGCTGGTGCACCCTAAGGAAAGCACTAAGCAGGGAATTGCAAGTGGGCACATTAGGGCGCAGACCTGCATGGAGCATGGCCTGATACCACTCCCAAGCCTTTCTAACATTACCAGTCTTTCCCCACAAATCTACTAAAAGCCCATAAACCGGTTCATCCGGCACCCAGTTTTTCCTTCTCATCTCAGCAAAAACTGCTTCTGCTTCTTCAAGATAGCCACAATGTCCAAGAACCTCCATCACTATGCTGTAAGTAACTTTGTCTGGCTCAAATCCTGCATTCTGCAAATCTCTGTACAGCTTCAATGCACTCTCATAATTCCTAGCCTTGGCTTGCAGGGCAATCATGATATTGTAGGTCACTAGATTAGGAACACAACCCTGATCAACCATTTCACAGAAAAGTTTGTAGGCAGCAGTTAAATTGCCAGCTTTTCCAAGGCAGTTGATTATAACACTAAAAGTGAATGTATCAGGAGTAAGACCAGCTCTTTGCATTTTTTTATACATGTCCATGGCAACATCAAGAAATCCAGCTTTTGCATGAATGTCAATGAGTGTGCAATAGGTTACACGATCAGGTTCACACCCAGCTACTTGCATTTGATTGAACACCTCAATGGCTTTGTTAAGGTAGTTTGCCCGTCCATAACTGTGAATAAGACGGTTATATGTCACAACATTTGGCTGGCATCCATCCCTTACCATCTGATCAAGCAATTTGTTTATAGCACCAAACTGCCGAGAACGGCCAAGTATGCCCACCATGGTTGTATATGTATGCTCATCGTGCTTGAACCCAGGTCGTTGTTTCAACCAATAAAAAAAGCCAAGAGCAACCGAATGATCTTGAAGCTGCTTTAGAACTTGGTTTGCTTGATATGCATCAATAGAATAATTAACATTCCCAAGAGCTTCTTCTGCAGCAGGGCCCCATTTCAATTGTCGCAACATGTGAGAAACCCTTTCCACAACATTCCCAAAGCCAGTAAACTGACGAGACATTGGAGCAATTCCAGCAGGAATTTTCATTTCTCGATAGGGTTTGTTCAAACCCTCAGAGACACATTCCACAGACTTTGCACCTGACCTGCGCTGATCAGAATTAAAATTTGAGGTGAAGTGATTTGAATGAGATTTGGATCTTTGTGGTATAGTCCTCCTTCTGTCACAACTATCTGAAGATACACTATGGGTTTCCAGTGAATCTCCAGTTGAATTTGAAACTCGCTTGAAACCTTGAGAATTTGATTTATCAGCTTTACCTTTTGCACCATGATAGTCACTTGAAGCACTTGACACCACTGTTGTCTCAGTAGATGATTTTGTATAAACTTTGGAAAAGTTTTCTCTTCTAATGGTCCTCACATTTGTAGATTTTATACCCGAAAGTGGCCTGGTGGGATCAACCATACAGTTCTTAGAAGAATTTGGTAGACCACTTCCATCTAATAGAGGAAGCTTATGATTCACTAAATCAGACAAAAAACCCACTGCAGCTATACCAGCCATAACAAACTGGTCACTAATAGGAGGTGACGTGAGCACATCATTTGGAGCAGCATCAATGCCACTAGCATAACTGACACAATCTGATTTTTCTGAAGAACTAGGAGCAGATACCCTCTCCGATTTGCAGGAACCCACCACTTTAATGGCATTCCCAAAGATCACAGCACCTACTCTGGAAGAGGTGGATGGCAATTGTGTGTTATGCTGTCTTCGTGAAACACAAGATTCATCCTCAGGGCAGGTACAGGAATTTCCATCTGATATACTACATCGGGAACCGGTAAGCAAAAATGACCGAGCTGTACTTGAAAAGTTAGTAGTAATCTGCTTTGCCCGCAACATAATCTGCAATTACCGCACAAAGTTAATGCAATATGCATAAAAACATAATTCTCATCATCACAAGTGAGAATACACTAATTTATTAGCTCAAGCACAACGGTCAGCATACAAGTCCACCGTGCCAATGCTACTCCTCGGCCTATGCTCCCTCGATGTTACAAGAAAAGTGTATAGGAACAACTAGACATCCACACCGAGGCAGTAAAGCACAACTGAGCATCAAGTGAACATTAAGTAAAGAGAGACGATTCCATTCAATGAGTCATAGCAACAAAACTGCTCAGATCCCAGACCATGCAGTCAAGCCACCAGGACAAGCACTCATAAGTTGTATTCTAATAAAACATGCCAACTGATAAAAGGCTTGGTAAAATCAGTAAATATATTAAATACACAAAGAAATTGTAGAAGAAGAGAACCATTTATAACAAATTTGTCATGTGTAGCCATATCTTATGAGTAAGAATTATGACAAGAAACCTTGCTGTTATCTTGAAATATTATCATTAAGTTAAAACATTTGATGTTATTTCAATAGACAATTTGAATGCCCCAAACAAAGGCTTGTTATCCTTGTTATTGTTGTTCCCTTACAGATATGGTACATTATCTATTTTTTCCGTTTACTTTCTTTTTTTTTGGGGGGGGGGGCTAAGAAAGCGTATATTATGAAGGAAAAGAAGAATAAAAAGCGGTCATCCTACCTCGGGACATACCCTGGGTTAGGAACAAAATAAATCAAATAGTATACAAGACTATAAAGCAAATCTCCTCTTGTTTTACAATCTATTGTGCACAAAAGATTGGAAACAAGAAGGGAACAAGAGCAAATCTCCTCTTGTTTTCCATTTACTTCAACCTTAGAGCCAAAAAGCAGAATCAAGGTGCACAATCAAACGTAAGGTAAACATTTTGTGCTTTATCAATTAAAAACAAATAGAGTACATTAAAGATGCTGCTCCACACAGCAATTCCGAAGCTCCCATTCTTGCTTCTGAAAACAATAGTCAAAATAGTCTGGGTTTGTGCAAAAAGTGGCACCAAAATATCAACTTCACCCGCCCATTTATAAATCAAAACACGAAAAACCATAAAATCATCCACACCAATTTAAATGTCCTTGTACACAAACAAAAATCTTCCTTTGTTCACCTCAATATGACGAACAAAGAATCAGTTCCAGAAAGCGAACAAAACAATAACCATAACTCAAACAAACACTTAATAACTCGATTAATCCAAGCTCCTTCAATGAATCATCAAAGTTCTCTCTTTTTCACATGCAAAGCAGCTAAAAAGATCACAACTTTACAGTCAAAATACAATCTTCTACACATCCAATCATATAAATACATAAAAAGAACAATCAAATTCACCACATCTAGTAAAAAAAAAAAAACAAAAAACCAATCTTCTTGTCTTAGTAACCAAGATACAATAAAAAGCATACTCAAAGTCAAGAAAAACAAACAAAGGGCGATTACAACCACAAGAACAAACAAACAAACAAACAAAAAAAACAGCAACAACCCAGTAAACAATGAGCCTATAAATGCATAAAGAAGAAGATCATAAGATGAGAAGTACCTCAGAATGGTGTATAAGCTTATTCAGGTGTTCAAAGAAAGAAAGAAAAAACAAGAGAAAGTTCAAAAAAGAGAGAGGCGGCTGTCCTCTCTGTGCTGCCGTCAAGTCCTGAGTTATTCCAACCAAATTGGGGAGGCTGTGAAGTTAAGGCTCCAAATGCAAAAGCTTTTTAAGTAGTTAGTCATTTTTTTTTTTATTTTTTTTTTATTTTCTTTTCTTAATCAGCCCTACTCGTTTTTGGGAGAGGAAAACTTTTGTGCAATGCTCTTTCATTACTATGCTTTACCCGAAAACAGGAACAGCAACCCGTGTGCTCATTCTGACTTAACTCATATAATTATTTATATTTTGGTTAATTTTATAATAATCATTTATACTTTTCTTAAATTTATTTCTTTTATATTTATATTATAAAGGTTTAATTCAAATCAGAATGAATTGGTTTAAAAAATAAACTTTTATGTTTTTTTATTAAACTTAATCTTAATTTTAAATAATTTTCTTCAATACTATATGTTTTTAAATAATTTCGGAGATTATTATGACTTTAATATATGTATTTTATGATATTTATTAATTATCTTTTCAAATGTTTTTCAATTCATCAAAATTGCTTTTTATTTAATTGAAAACATCATTTTGGAAAAAAAAAAATGTGTTTATATTGTTTGTTAATTAAAATTAGGTCAAATAATAGGAAGAAGGTCAACGATATTTTTTATTTACCAAAACTGAAATTGTAGGGCACACGTGGCTGCATCCTGACGGCTTGTTTGTATGCTGAGCGGTAAATGATTTTATTCGATGTCATTTTTCCTTCTTTTTTAAAAGAGGATTCTATATTCTAGGGATGCGATTCCCTACTGCTAGTTCTATCGTGGTACGGTGTGCAACCTGTTGAGTTTAGCTACTTATTAATTGTAAGTTACCTTTTGATTAGCAGTAATGGTGGCTGTATCTGTACTGTATCACACACGCCTTTACAACTTTTGATAAAGTCACATTTTATTGATTTTCACATGCAGAAACTCAAAACTATTTTTATTTTCATTTTTTTGCTTTGGTCAATTATTTATTTTTATTTGCTATAATTATAATAATAATAATATGGTGTGGTAGTTGAAACTTGAAACTTGATGGGGTCCAAGCGAGTCACCACGCCACGCTTTTTCTTTTTCTAAGCGCGTAATTAAAAGAAATGTGAATTTGTATCTTCGAAGGTCAAAGTCAGAACTATCGACGGCTCTAGTTCTCATGAATGGTCTAACGAATTGCAGGGTTTTGACAGCAGCACACGTGACATCTTCTAAGTGATCCTAGAGGCCCCAAATCCCCGAAGTATTGTCTGGTTGTCAAGTGTTTCTTGTTTATCAAGCAAGATCTTTCGACCTCCATGTCACTGTTGTTGTCCCCAATTGAATAGATCAGAAAATTACTGACACGTGTTATTTTAATAATGGGGAAACGACTTACCCCTATCTAAGGTTGGCCGAAACAAGGATTGGTATCTAAAAGGTTTCAAAAAGACAAATAGATATCTTTCATTAGTGAAAAGACTAAAATGACATTTGAGAAATATTAGTCTATTTTTTTAATTACTTTTAGTCCTCTTAAGTTTATTAATTCCATCAAATACCTCCAAAACAAAGTTTAAAAATTAACAAAAACACTTTCACCCACTCATACTTGCTAGATTCTGATGGCCACCATCAGTGGTAGCCGAAATCTATCACAACGGTCTACGCCACCACCGAAAATGGTTGGTAATTCACCGATTTGGCCTTTTCCGGCCAGATCCACCACGGATATGGTCGGAAAATGCCAGATCTAGCCGTCCATAGCCGCAACACTCCATCTTTGGCCGTTGTTGTCTGTCAACGACGGCCATTTCTTTAGTCATCACTTTTTGGCCAGATATGGCCTTTTCACGTCAGATCTGGCCTTTTCCGGCCATATCCGTGGTGGATCTGGCCGGAAAAGGCCAGATCGGTGAATTACCGGTCATTTATGGTGGTGGCGTAGACCGTTGTGACAAATTCCGGCTACCACCGACGGTGGCCGCCGGAATCTAGCAAGTATGGGTGGGTGGGGGTGTTTTTGTTAATTTTTAAACTTTTTTCTAGGGTTATTTGATGGAATTAATGAACTTAAGGGGTTTAAAAGTAATTAAAAAAATAGACTAATATTTCTTAAAGGGCATTCTAGTATTTTCACTAACAGAAGGTACCTGTTTGTCTTTTTGAAACCTTTTAGGTATCAATCTGTCGTTTCGCCAAACCTTGGATAGGTATAAGTCGTTCGGCCTTTAATAAATATCTGGGCCAGAAATTTTCTAAAATCCTTTAAAACGGTTAGAAAGATACAAGTTGACCACTGTGTATAGATAAAACTCCATAAATAATTGAATATTGAAATCAAAAAATCAATACAAAGATTAAGCTGTTAGATAATGTTGGTAAGTTTAAGATTAACTGAGTTGAGTGTGAGATAATCCTTGCCAATTGTCTTATATTCTATCTATAGATTTAAGTACACAAGTAATGAGTACATTGGTAGACGGGTTCAAAATTATTGGTAAGGCCCGTCGGAAAACAATTTGATGAGATGATGCCTCCATCTCTTCACTAAGGTGGTGTTTACTTTGGGGAATGCATTGGAATGAGAACAGGAATGGACACCAGGGATGGGATAAACCCCTTGTTTGTTTAATTTTTCGATGACGGCCAGATTCTAGCCACAGATTTAACGTTTTCGTTCAAATTTATGGTAGATTTGGATGAAAAATACTAAAACGGTGTACGACCGGCTAGATCTAGCCGGTCATGTGCCATTCCAATAATTGTCAGCCATCGTTCGTCGATGGTAGTTGGTTACCGACAGTCAATTGGATAGGTAAAGGTGTTTTTGTAAATTTATAAACTTTTATTATAAAAAGTATTTAGCTAAATTAACAAACGTAAGACGTTAAAAATAATTTAAATTTTTTCAAAAAATGTACCAAATTCATTCTCATAATCCTAATATATCCTATTCAGAACAGTTTTTCATAATATCATATTTCAAATAATGTACCAAACAAATCCAAAATATGATTACATTGTTTACTTGTAACAATAAATAGTGATAGAATGGAATAAAAATTATATTTTTGGACAAAATTACACTTAATTTTAAATTTATATATGTATATTTTTTAAGCATATTTAAAAAATACTTACATTGGAATTAATTACTATAAATAAAACTAAAATATAATTAACTTATTTTATTCATAAGTATAAATATATATTTTTATTTAAATCATTTTTTTTTTTTTTTTTTAGAATCGGCCAAAGTTGTCCGACTTCAACGTTCCTTCACACTTCCGACAACACTGTCGACACATGCAAGCCTTTTTGTCTGTCAATCTACCGACATGACAAGTAATTTTTTTATTTTTAAATAAATAAATAATTTTACATCTTCAAATAAAAATTAAATTATAAAATGATATAATAAAAGCAGTAATACTACACTCACAACCCCTTCTCAAAAACTTTCTCTTACAATCTCAACGTGGCAACTCATTAATGGTCAACTCATAAAATGGGTCCCACCTGCTTGTATGAGTCCCGCCTACCTATTTACGAGTCAACCAATGACGAATTGCTATGTTGGAATTCTGAAAGAAAGTTTGTGAGAAGAGGTCTTGAGTTAGTATAGTATTTTCCTAACAGGAATATTTGTTTGAAACTGGAGCAAGGATAAAATTTCCTCCCCTTCCTCGCCTTGGAATGCCCCTTCCTCCCAAAAAAAATTGCGAAAGTAAACAAGGGAATGCCCATTCCCTTGTAAAACTTTGAAGTAAATATACCATAAAAATGATGTTATTCAAACCTCACTCAAAACTCTTTCTAAGCCCCAAAATTAATTAAAAAATTATATTTAAATAGATTTCAATTTATGCCAAAATTATCCTTTTCTTATCTTTTTAACTTACATCACTTATCTCTGACTCCATCTTCTTGTAAATCTAGAAGTTTTATTAGCGCCCATGTTATCAATAATTGTTATTTGAGCATTCTACTAAACAGATATTGAATAGGGAAGTTGACCTTCAAACAAACAAAACAAAAAAGCCTGTCTATCACTTGACCAGGCCAACACTAAGGACGTACTGTTGTCGTGGATTGGGCTAAAGACCACAATAGACAAACTTTGGGCCTATTTGTGGGCTCTCCCTTAACTTTACTCTGAATTTGGCCCAATTATACTCCACATGGCTTCTTTCATGTCCCAAACAAGTTGAAAGCGAGATTATCAAAATTTATTATTGTTGATTTTACGTTAGAACAAAATCTAGTGGATTTTCCACCAATATTTTAATGTTTCATGACATAGAAACAACAACAAGAAGTATTGCATATTATATTAAATATAATTTTCTTTAAATAATCTAAAGCTCTTCATATAATATATGAATTTCCCCATAAATTACAACAATCAAATTCAGTGAGATGTCAATAACATATCAAGGATCCAACAATAATAATAATAAATTATATTCTTCATTTGGTGGAGCATTTTAATCATAAATTAAGCAAGGTAGCAATCACACAAAACTTGACTAACAAATTAAAAAAAAATAAATAAATAAAAAAATCGCAGAGTTCTTTCTTGAGGACGAGAGTGACCCAATGTAGGGCTCTTGCACTTTTAGAAATCAAAAAAAGAGGGAAGCTTTATTGAAGAGGCGTGGGGAGATGAGCTGGGGGAGGGGGGGGATTAACACATGCTTTTCCTGCAACCCATCATCAAACATCATTATGGAGGTCACTCACGCCCCTTTTCTTATCAAATTCCTTCTTCAAACTTTGGCCATGCCAGACTATAAAGTTACCTTCTTCCATCAACAACCTCCATCATTACTTTTCATTTAACATCCTAATCTGGTTTTACACATCCTTAATTTATAGCTTAACTACCTGTTTCGACCTATTCCTACGTTTTACATTAATCAACACATGATTAAATTATTGCAACATTAACTTATCTGAACCAATAATATCACATCATAATTGCTATATGTTCGTTATTAAATATATATTCCATTACAATGACACAAAACTACCTCTGGATAGTCGAGTGGTTCGATAGTGACTCTTGAATGTATCACTTAAAAGACTTGGCTGCTAATAGGTGTGACCATTGGATG